TCATGAGAGTTTCAGGATTAAAAGATTCCTGGCCAAGAAACAAAAGTAAAATCATCCGATTCCCCTAGTGGATTCAGATGAAAACTGGTAATAAAATCAGGTACGACTCTAAAAGGAGACATTGGAGAAGAACTAAGATGGGTCTATAAAGAATTGCAGGTGAGATAGCACACATATTTATGCTGCCTAAGCGTCACAATCACGTTACCATATCAAACTGAAAATGTCACCACTATCTGGAGAGTTGGACATTTTTTATTGCTAATATATTTTTTCTCTCTGACTCTGTTATGAATGCCTACATTGGCTGGGTTCAACAATAAATATGTGAGACTTTTCATTTCAAAAAAATAAAGTAAAATGATGTAATTCCATAGAGATCCATAATTTGTGAACTGCTTTTGGATTTTTTGAGATGGAGACTCCACTGGGTTCAGTGGATCACACCTGTGGTCCTCGCACTTTGGGAGACTAAGGTGGGATGGTTGCTTGAGGCCAGGGAATCTTCTCATCTCTCCTAACCCAGTTCATGATAGACCCTTGGACTTCACTGTTATGGAAAATATATAAAGCAATATCAGTGTGTCAAAGCATTATGTCAGTCACAAGCTTGTGAACGAAAAATAAAAATTGCTAAGCCAAAGAGAAAAGTCAAGCTGGGAACTGTGTCAGACAAACTTGCCTCCCATTTTATTCCTAAACAAGATAGCTACAAGTATTTAAAAAACAGTTACAGAGAGGCTGGGTGCGGTTGATCACTTGAGGTTGGGAGTTCGAGAGCAGCCTGACCAACACGGAGATACCCCTTCTTTACTAAAAATACTAAGTCAGGTGTGGTGGTGCCTGCCTGTAATCCCAGCTACTCAAGAGGCTGAGGCAAGAGAATCACTTGAACCCAAGAGGTGAAGGTTGCGGTGAGCAGAGATTGGGCCACTGCACTTCTGCTTGGGCAAGAGTGAAACTGTCTCAAAAAACAAGAAAGACAAAGGAAGGAAGGAAGGAAAGAAAAAAAGAGAAAAGCTATAATACTCCCCTCACAAACTGGGAGCCTCAAGATCTTCACCCTAAAATAGTTCTGTTGAATTCCTCCCTGGTAATGTAAACTGGTAGCTTATCTGCACAGGTGTGGGACAGAACCCATCGCTCTGCACACCTGAGACAAATGCCTATCTGATTTCTTCACCTGCCCTATTTATGTAAAAATTCAGAGCCACTGAGCCAGACTAAGGCATAGGTGACTATCCTCTACTCCCTCTCATATATAAATTGTGTATTCAGTGGAAGGCTGATCAGTCACTCAAAGAATGTGATGATTTGTTATCTACCTGTGACCCGGAAGCCCCCCAGTTCCAGTTTTTCCACCTTTCCAGACCGAATTAATGTACATCTTCTATGTACTGATCGATGTCTCCTGTCTCTGTAAAATGAGTAAAACCAAACTGCAGCCTGAACACCTTGGGCACACGTCGTCAGGACCTCCTGAGGCTGTCAGGGGTGCATTTTTAACTTTGGCAAAATAGATTTCTAAATTGATTGAGACCTGTTAGATACTTTTGGTTCACAAGCTCATGAACACAGAAAAAAAAAAAAAAGAATAAGAAAAAAACTAGCACAGAATCAGTTCCAGAATGACCGAGATGCCGCCATTGCACTCCAGTCTGGGCAACAAGACAGAAACTGCGTCTCAAAAAACAGTAAAAGAAAAGAACTAGGTGTCATGCAAAGCACTAAATCAGTTCCAAAATCTGAACGACTTCATATTTATTCAACATAGGGAAATGCTCTTCAACTTTGTGTGATTAGATTCCATTTGTGAATGATAGATTTCTAATGTTTGATTAAAATAAAAACTCATGCTATGTAATTTTAGCCAATTTAAAGCTGCAGATAATAATTATATAGGTATATGAAACTTACTAATATTTCACTCAGTATTGCTATTGTTATGTTCTTGAGGCAGACGCTCAGGCTGTCAGATAAATTACCAGAGATTGGTGTCGTCCATATTTGTGCTTAGGACTCTGTGGTACATGAGCGTATAAATTGTTAAGCAGGAACCTAGGAGAGCTAGAGCGTGGGGGCGATACCTGGAACAAGACTGGGGCGGGGCAAGAGGGAGGAGGCTGCCAGGGGTCAGGCCATACAGCGGGAAAGGGCAGAACCAGAGGGTTATCGTCATCTTGGGGGCGGGGTCTGGAGGGGGTGTTGTTCTGAAGGGCGTGGGTCTGCAAGGGTCGGGTTTGGGCTCTCTCAGTTGGGCCCCGGATGTCACCTACTGTCATCCTCTTGCCGGCCTGGACTAAATCCTCCGGGTTCTGATTGGTGGATTTGTTCTGAGGTGCCGTGATATTACCCCTAATATCACAGATTTTTCCTGCCCGTTTCAAGTTGGTGTTTCAATCGAAGCTAGAACAACATATTGTAGTAGGCCACCAGTACTGAACGCTGAATCATTTTTCCTCTTAAGTTGAAAATGGTTTTAATGTAAAGCGCCTTGTATGAGCAGGTAGAGTCCTGAAGGCGGGGCGGGCGAGCTCCCCTCAGACTGGGGCAGTGTAGTGGGGAGGGCCAGGGACCTCGGTAAAGGGGTGCAGTGGGGGGCTGGTCGAAGAGGGGACTGACAATTAGAATAAGGAGAACTGCTTGAACCCAGGAGGTGGAGGTTGCAGTGAGCTGAGATTGCACCCCTGGGCGACAGAGCAATACTCCCTCTCAAAGAAAAGAGAGTTTTCCTGTCAATAATTAGGAAGACTAAGCAGCCCCAGAGCTAAGACCTCATGAGATCATTGTTACTTCTTATGGAGTGATAAAGTAGACATCCTCAAATTGTATCAGTCCGTAACCAAACAAGCTGCTGCAGCCTATGCACTGGTCTTGAATGAAAACTGTCATGATTCTGCTAAAGATTCTCTGTCTTTCCCTGTATGTGAAACCTTAACGTCTCTACTTTGGAACGCTGATCCCATTCATCTGGAGTTGATGTTTCCAGGTGGCTATCCTCAAGCTTTGTGTTCACGTAAACTCAATACTTAATCATATAGTCTAAATTTTATTATTTACTGCTGACATCAGTTTCTGTCGGATTGCAGGCACCTGACCAGAGAGGGCACCTGTCGCTATGTTGTAAAACTCACACTTGTCAAAAAGGCACGGGTTGGGGTTTTCCCCCTCCCTCTGGATGAAGCTAATTAGTTGACACAGATGGTCACCTCCATTACCAGTGTGAGCCAGGATGAACTATGTGTGACCAAGGGTGTAGTTAAGTCCTCTTCCCTGAGGGCTGATTAGTGTTTATCTTGAAAACATGTATTTAATGGGTTGTATAGAACAGTGAGGTTGCTTTCTCTCTTTTCAACCTCTTAGCTGTTTGCCTCTATTTCCCATCACATTCTGGCTTAAGGCTTATTTATTAATAAAGTGGTTTTTATTTCTCTCACTATTATTGTCGTGAAGATGATTTCTCATTTGGGAGAAGATTTTTGTTTTGTTTTCCATTATATTTTCTCAAAATTTAAAGAGTAAAATAAGGAATATTTTTGGGGCCAGGCATGTGGCTCATGACTATAATCCCAGCACTTTGAGAGGCTAAGGCAGGCAGATCACTTGAAGTCAGAAGTTCGAGACCAACCTAGACAACATAGTGAAACCCCGTCTCTAAAAATTAGAGAGGAGGTTTTTAAAATACAAAATTAGCTGGGCATGGTTGCGCGCGCCTGTAATGTCAACTACTCCAAAGAATGAGACAGGAGAATCGCTTCAACCCAGGAGACAGGGGCTGCAGTGAGCCCAGATCTCGCCACTGCATTCCAGCTTGGCCAACAGAGAAAACTCTGTCTCAAGAATAGAAAAAAGTAAATATAAAAAAGAAAATAAGCCAGGAGCGGTGGCTCACGCCTGTAATCCCAGCACTTTGAGAAGCCGAGGCGGGCAGATCACTTGAGGTCGGAAGTTTGAGACCAACCTGACCAACATGGAGAAATCCCGTCTCTACTAAAAATACAAAATTAGCAGGGCATGGTGGCACGTTCCTGTAATCCCAGCTACTTGGGAGATTGAGGCATGAGAATCGCTTGAACCCAGGAGACGGAGGTTGCGGTGAGCCGAGATCGCGCCATTGCTCTCCAGCCTGGGCAAGTAGAGCAAAACTCCATCTCAAAAAAAAAAAAAAAAAAAAACCAGTAATAGATTTCTTACACAAATACGCTGGGACAACTAACTAGATATCCACGTGGAAAAGAATAATGTTGGATCCCTATGTAACAGCATCAAAAATGCTATTATAAAAAAAGAGAGAGAGAGAAACGAGGAAGGGAGCCCTGGGGGAGGGGGTATTTGTCGAGGAGTCCAGGCCAGCCTTTGTAGCCCAGGCTGGCCTGGAGTCCCAGGCTCAGCGATCCTCCCTCCGCTGCTTCCTGAATAGCTGGGACCTCAGGCTCCCGCCCCCGCGCCAGCATCCCTGCTGTGTTTAAGCCGCAGGTGGTGACCTCACCTCTCCTTGGCCTGAGCACTCCATCCTGCATCTCAGGCAGTGGCCTGAGTCCCTGAAGCTAAGCACAGGGTGGATTCTCTCCCAAGTGAGAGAATAGAAAAGGAGACGACTTCTATTCGGTTCTGTGGGCTGTCAGCATGAAATCGTACTTTTCGCCCAGGCAGGGCTTTGCATTTCCCATTCTAGTTTGCATCTTCGTTCCAGACAATTCCAGGGCTCTTGAATCATGCCTCAGCCTTCCTGGTCGGTCTCGCCTCCAAAACCCGAAAAACAGACGCGCTGAGAGAGGCACAGGTCCTGCCCTGGCCCCGCCCTCTACCGGTTCTAAAGAGGAAAGTCTCTCCGCCTCCCGCCCCACCCCTACTCAAGGCCCCGCCCACCTCCTCGCGGGCCCTGCCCAGACCTGGCTTCCGTACTGCGCGTGCAGATTCGCGCAAACCCGGAAGCGGGTTTGGTGGAGTGAAGGTCACGCCGCGGCGGTGAGTTTCGCTCTTGTATTAAGTCTGGGCTTACCAGGTCCCCTGCGCTTCTATACCTGAAACATGGGGTCCCCACAGACCTGGAAATTTTCGCCCTTCTTCCTTCACCCAGGACAAATTGAGACGTCCCCATAAGAGTCCGGATATCGCTTCCTTTTGGGTTTAAAGTCGCCCTGAGGCTGGGCCGGCCCGGTCTTTCTGCTATAGGACAGTGTTACACTTCCTGTCGCGTAGTTTTTCTGCTCAAAACCATTTTCTGACTCCTCCCGCCCCGCGGTTTTTAAAGTCCTCACCCGAGAGCTGGATTCCCTCCCTGGGCGCCTCCCACCCTCGCCTTCGTAGGCCACTGGAGCGCAGCGCAGGGACCTCAGTCCCACGGAGGCCACGTCCTCTGCCTGGTCCTGGAATCCTGCAGATCCCCACCCTTGTCTTAAGACGCCCCCACCTCCCTCCTCGTGCCAGGCCCTGCAGTTCCCCAGGTCTCCCCTCTGCAGTCACCGCTTCCCCTGAGACCGCATTGGGGAGGTGCCCGGGGCCTGTCCTGTGATACGGGGTGTTCTTGCCTGCCCAGCTCCAGCCACTGGAAAATGCGCACCCCCGGGATGCAGGCTTCCTACTCCAAACCCTCCTGTGATTGTGACGGCCAAAGGCTTCAGGAGACACAGCAGTAGAAAACCTGAGACAGAAAAAAGAAGAATGAGAAAGACCCATAACAGATGGCAAAGTAGAGGATAGGTGAAGGATTTGCCGAGAGACAGCAAAAGTGAAAAGAAAACGATAAGAAAGCAGGAGGAGAAAAGCAACTGGAGAAATGTAGAGAAAAGCTAGATGTACAGAGAGATGAAGGACAGCAATGTAGTAAGGGGCAGCAAAGAGGGAGGCTCATCAGAGGGAGGGAGAGGAGGAGGGATTTGGAGCCAGGACAGACAGAGCAGAGTGGTGCTGGTGGCAAGGAGAACAGAAGGAGAAGCACAGCAGGGAGGATACCTGAGGACTGGGGTTCCAGAGGGTGGGGACAGGGGTGTATAACAGGGAAGAGAGAATTTAACAGGGAGAGCAGAGGAGGCACAGAGATGGGAGAAGAGACGGAAATATATCAAGATTGAGGATGATCGAACGATTGGGGAGAAGGAGCAGCAAGAAGTTAGGTAAGTTGCGAGGATGGAGTAGAAGAGGTGGAAGAGAAGGAGTGGAGGGAAGAAGGGGATAAACAGCAGAAGAGGAGAGGGGTACAAAATGAGGAGCAGAATCCCAGCGAAATTAAAGAAAACAAGAGCTAGAGAGAGAAGGGGAGAATGAAAGATAGGTACAGAATTAGAAAGGGAAGCATAGTAATGAAGAAAGGGGCTGGGCGCAGTGGCTAACTCCTGTAATCCCAGCACTTTAGGAGACTGAGGCAAGAAGATTGCTTGAGTCCAGGAGTTCGAGTCCAGCTTGGTCCACATAGACCCCCATCTCTGCCAAAAAAAAAAATTAACTAGGCATGATGGTACGCACCTGTAGTCCCAGCTACTCTGAAGGCAGAGAAAGAAGGATCACTTGAGCCCAGGAGGTCCAGGCTGCAGTGAGGCGAGAGCATGTCACTGCACTCCAGCCTGGTCAACAGAGCAAGACCTGTCTCAAAAGAAAAAAAGGGGTGGGGGACTTTGGGTTTAGATGAGTGGGTGCGCTCATTGGATACGATTAGTCGTGACATGTTGACTTCTTTGTATATAATCTAGTAACTTAAAACTTGCTTAAATTATACAGATGAGATTGAGAGTTTTAAGAATCCTATCTATAAGATATGTACATTCTATAAATCTTGGCCTCAGAGGTTAGCTTCCACTTGGAATCCCTATTCAGCCAGAGTGGAGTGACTTATTCACTTGTGAGTCACTCTGTTCCCTATTCCCAGAGTGGGATAGGGAGTGGGGCAGTGAAGTGGGAAAAGAATTCCTTTCTGTTATCACATAATTTTTAACTTAATTAATTAACTAATATTAAGAGACAGGGTCTGGCCAGTTGCCTAGGCTGGAGTGCAGTGGCGTGATCTCTAACTGCAGCCTGGTCCTCCTGGGCTCAAGTAATCCTCCTACCTCAGCTTCCTGAGTAGCTGGGACCACAGTCATGAGCCACCAAGAAGCCCATCGTTGTTTTTTTTTGTTTTGTTTTTGTTTTTTTGTAGAAACGAGGTTTCACTGTGTTCCCAGGCTGGTCTCAAAATCCTGGGCTCAAAGTATCCTCCTGCCTTGGCTGCCCAGAGTACTGAGATTACAGGAAAGAGCCACCGAACCTGGTCCACATAGTTTTTTGATTTTTTGTTTGTTTTAGATGGAATTTCCCAGCCTGGGAAAGGCTGGAGTGCAGTGGTGTGATTTTGGCTCACCACAATCTCAGATTCCCAGATTCTCGGGATTCTCTTGCCTCAGCCTCCCAAGTAGCTGGGATTACAGACGCCCACCAAGCCCAGCTACTTTTTGTATTTTTAGTTGAGACGGGGTTTCACCATGTTGGCCAGGCTGCTCTCGAACTCCTGACGTCAAGCAATCCGCCCACCTTGGCCTTTCAGAGTGCTAGTATTACAGGCATGAGCCACCGCGACCGGCCCAATTTTTGTATTTTTAGTAGACAGAGTGTTTCAACATGTTGGCATGCTGGTCTCCATCTCCTGAGCTTAAGCAATTCTCCCACCTTGGCTTCCACAGTAGCTGGGACCATAGACACACAGACGTGCACCATCATGCCTGACTACGTTTTTGTATTTTTGGTAAAGATGGGGTTTCGCCATGTTGCCCAGGCTGATCTCAAACCCCTGAGATTAAGCGATCCACCCGCCTCGGCATCCCAGAGTGCTGGAATGACAGGCACGAGCCACTGCACCCAGCCTCTGGATGGTGTTTGGTCAGGGCTGGGTCTGTGCCGGGAAGAGGCGCTCATTTCAGCCCAGCTCCCCACTGCTGCAGCGTGTGTGGACTTCTCCAGGAGGGTGCGGGAGTTTTCCTGTAGGAGTTTATTGTCTCTGGTGCAGTGGGCAGCAGAGGGGACCATATTTCCCAGGGTGGGGTCTCCTTCGTATGTATGGTTGTGTTACAGGGACGGGTTGTGTTGATTCTGAGCAATAAACAACATATTTTTAACATTCAGGACTGACTTCTAAGGACTCTTGGTACGTGAAGAAGAAATCCAGAAAAGGAAGAGGAAAGCAGAGGAGTCAGGGATGGCTCTTCCTCAGGTGAGATGATATTTCGGTGGATTGTTCTGTCTCTTTCCTTTCAGAAACCCTAGGACTTGGAGTTGGGAATCTTCTCTGAGTCTGAAGCGTCCTGCCTGATAGGTTTGCTCACACTCACCCATGCCTTCCCTCAGTCCCTCTCATCTCACTTAGATTTTATCTCTTGTGACCCAGTGACATGAAGTTGGGAAGAGGCGGCACTGGGCATGGTCCTGGGAAGGGCTCACACCAGACATGGATGGAGACGGGGTGAGGGTCCCGTGGTGTCAGTGCTGTTGGGCAGCAGGGATTGTTCAGGGGCCACATCTGGATGCACTGTCAGCTCTCTGTGGACCAGGAGTAGAGCAGCTGCCAATGGAAGTCATCTATTAATGGGCACAAAGTATGTGGTAAATTCTAGAAAAGGAGACCAATAAAGGGAAATCTTTTCTCCCTGATTTTTTGCTATATTTTTAGGTAATTGAGTGAGTTACTGTGTTCCTGACTCCAAAAATCTTACTAATTAGAATGGAAAGTTCATACACAGACATGAATAATACAAGGTGTTTTATTCCGTCATTATTTTAAGAATATGAAATCAACCTAAATAATAACTAGAGATTCTTTTTTTTTTTTTTATTTTCTGAGACAGAGTCTTACTCTGTTGCCCAGGCTGGAGTAAAGTGGTGCGATCTCGGCTCACTGCAACTTCCGCCTCCTGGGTTCATGCCATTCTCCTGCCTCAGCCTCCTGAGTAGCTGGGACTACAGGCACCCGCCACCATGCCCGGCTAATTTTTTTTTTTTTGTATTTAGTAGAGACGGGGTTTCACTCTATTAGCCAGGAAGGTCTCGATCTCCTGACCTCGTGATCCTCCCGCCTCGGCCACCGAAGGAGCTGGGATTACAGGCGTGAGCCACTACACCTGGCCCGCTAGAGATTCTTTAAACCATTGTTAGCACATTAAGCTCTTGGAGATTGTGGTGTTACTGTGGAGAGGCTTGTGAAACAGGTGTTTTCAGTAAAAATAGTTACAATTGGGGCCGCCATGTTGCAGCAGGATAGTAATGATGACACTGAAGATGTTTCACTGTTTGATGCAGAAAAGGAGATGACTAATAGACCAAGAAAATCCAAAATCAGACATCGAGTAGCAGCATTTTTCCACTTATTCTTTCGAGTCAGTGCAGTCGTCGTCTGTCTGCTCTGTGAGTTCCTCAGCAGCAGCTTTATTACCTGTATGGTGACAATTGTTGTGGTGGTGTGACTTTTGGGCAGTGAAGAATGTCACAGGTAGACTCATGGTTTGCCTACATTGGTGGAATCACATTGCTGAAGATGGAAAGAGCCACTGGGTATTTGAATCTAGAAAGGAGTCCTCTCGAGAGAATAAAACTGTGTCAGAGGCTGAATAAAGAATCTTTTGGTTGGGGCTTATTGCCTGTCCAGTGCTGTGGGTGATATTGCCTTTAGTGCACTCTTCTCCTTCAGAGTAGAGTGGTTGTTGGTGGTTATCATGGGTGTGGTGCTACAAGGTGCCAACCTGTATGGTTACATCGGGTGTAAGGTGGGCAGCAGAAAGAATTTAACCAGCATGGCTACTTCACATTTTGGAAAGCAGTTCTTATGACAAAACACTGGAGATGATCAGACTTCCTGAATAGAGAAAACTTATGTGCTTTGTTACATTGGGGAACAACTGAAGAGATTCTTGACTCTGAACCTTTTAGAGCTTAGTCCATGTTGCAACGAGGAGTGTTGGCTCTGTTTTTCCACTTAAAAACTTTATTTATAAAAAGGAAAAGTAGTTTTCATATTAAGTTTTTATTTGCTTTCCAGCATTTGGGGCTAGAAAGTATATGTTGGCACTAGAAACATTGTCAGGATTTATTCTGTGGTGTAGGTGTGCACGTGTTCCATAGGTATGCGCACAGCCGTGTAATATCAGTATATCCCAAGTTAATGAAAGTGGTCATTTACATAGGTAATGGAGACCTTTGCATTTTGATCCATAAAACATAGGAGGATGTTCTTAGTCTGTCTCAAAGTTCTATGTGTTTACATATTATTTCTGTAGACTATTTTCAGGAGCAAATTTTGCTTCCATGGTAAGAGTGAACACTTTGGCTTATGTATAAGTTAGAAATTATTGTTAGTTTTCAATTTGTACTTCATGGGGAAATTTCTTAGACATATGCAAGCAAGTGAAAACAATTAGGGCCAGTGGTATTAATTATTTTCTAAAATTTTATTTTTATTTGGAAGAAGTCATTTACTTAAGGCCCAGTTAATATAAATGGAATCATCATAGTTTGTTTAAGGAATACCCAGAGATTGCTGCTGTTCTATTTATTTTACAGAAAGAACAGCTAGATTGAAAGCTTTTCAGTGGACCTTGAGCTAATAGATCTTTTACCACTAGAAGAGCATTATTCTCATGTCATAATGAGAATAATCATTTACATACTTGGCATATTAAATGCCTGAAAGATATTTTATTTTCTGAATCTATTTTTTTCTTGCTATAAGGGGATATTGTAAATTATGCATTTGTATTAATGGTATTTCTTAAAGCATTCTGTGTAACTGTAAACCAATCCAGAGACTATTGTAGGCATTTGTAAATTCTGTTATAGGTATTATAAACTTTGTTGAAGTCTTAATCAGCAGGTTATGTTGTGAATATATTCGTACATTGTTAAAATAGTTTTTAAGATTATTTGTTTAATTGAATAAGTGTCTTATTGGAGTGATAACTTTGAAGGTGCAAAACTTTATATTTGTATAAAATTCTGTTTACAAGGAAAAAAAAAGTTACAATTTTTCTCAACAATGGGAGAAGTACTTTCATATCCTAGACGATTGAGCCATATTCTCATTCCACCTATCATTATTATTATTATTATTATTATTATTATTATTGTTTTGAGATGGAGTCTTGCTCTGTCACCCAGGCTGGGGTACAGTGGCATGATCTCGGCTTACTGCAACCTCTACCTTCCAAGTTCAAGTGATTCTCCTGCCTCAGCCTCCCGAGTACCTGAGATTACAGGCATGTGCCACCACACCTGTCTAATCTTTTTGTACTTTTAGTAGACACGGGGTTTCATCATGTTGGCCAGGCTGGTCTCGAATTCCTGATCTCAGGTGATCCTTCCGCCTCAGCCTCCTATTGTGCTGGGATTACAGGCGTGAGCCACGGTGCCCAGCCCCACCAATTATTAGTAAATATATACGTTTACACTTAAACATCACATGATGTATGTATTTGTTATTTATTTTGAGAGCGTTTTACTCTTGTTGCCCAGTCTGGAGTGCAATGGTGTGATCTTTGCTCACCACAACCTCCACCTTTTGGATTGAAGTGATTCTCCTTCCTCAGCCTCCTGAGTAGCTGGTACTACAGACATGCGTCACCATGCCCAGCTAATTTTTTATTTTTAGAAGAGATGAGGTTTCTCCATGTTGGCCAAGCTGGTCTCGAACTCCCGACCTCAGGTGATCCACCTGCCTTAGTCCTCCCAAAGTGCTGGGATTACAGGCATAAGCCACCACACCTGGCCAATGAATAGATTTGTTTTGTGGTAAAACTAAGCAAAGCTGCATCTAAGTCCCTTGGCCACAAAGCATCTCCTTTCTCTGTCACATCCTCCACCCTCTTTCCAACCTCACTGGGGAGCCGCTACTGTCAATTCCGTGCCATGTGTCAGAGCTAGTCTCGTACTCGTGTATTTCTGCATTGTTATAAGACTTCAGAAAAAAATCAGTAAATTTCTTAATATTCATTTTTTAACTTTAGGTTTGGCGCTACATGTGAAGGTTTGTTACACAGGTAAACTCGTGTCATTGGGGTTTTGTTGTACAGAATATTTCATCACTTTGGCATTAAGCCCAGTACTCAATAGTTATTTTTTTATGTAGTTTTTTGAGACTCAGTTTTGCTCTTCTTGCTCAGGCCAGAGTATACTGGCATGATCTCAGCTCATTGCAACTTCCACCTCCTAAGTTCAAGGGATTCTCCTGCTTCAGCCTCCTAAGTAGCTGGGATTACAGGCGTGAGCCACCATGCCCAGCCCCAAACAGTTTTTTTTTTTTTTTTTTTTGCGCCTCTCCTTCCTCCCACCCTCCACCCTTAAGCAGACTGCAGTGTCACACTTGTCCGTGTGAAGTGACCACCAAACAGGTTTTGTGTGAGCAACAAGACTGTTTATTTCACCTGGGTGCAGGTGCACTGAGTGCAAAAAAGAAGTCAACAAAGGGAGATACAGGGGTAGGGCAGTTTTATAGGACTGGGGTAAGCAGTGGAAAATTACAGTTAAAGGTGGTTACCTATTATCAGCAGAGAAGGGGGTCACAGGGTGCATGGTGGGAGATCATAAGACTTATTGTCCAGAAGAAGAATGTCTCAAGGTCGATCGATTGATCAGTTGGGGCAAGGCAGGGACAAGTCGTCATGGAATGTCGTAAGGTTGGTCAATCAGTTAAGACAGGAGCTGGCTGTTTCACATTTGTACTTTTTGGTTGCCTCAGACCATCTGGATGTATACATGCAGTCTTGGGCTCAGAGGCCTTACATTCCTCTTATATTAATAAGAAAAATAAAACAGTGGTGAGGTGTTGGGGTGGCAAAAATTTTGGGGGGTGGTATGGAGAGATAATGGGTGATGTTTCTCAGGGTTGCTTCAAGTGGGATTAGGGGCTGCATGGGCACCTTAAGGAAAATTTTATAATGAGTTACAAGGAATAGAGATTTAGGCTGTGGGGAGATCTTGGTGCAGAGGATGGTACTGTGGGGTTGTTCAAAGTAGCATTTGTTGTATAAAATGATTGGTGATGGTCTGAATGTGGTTTTGAATGAATTGAGAAATGAAATGGAAGACACAAGGCCTGAATAAGACAAGGAGAAAAACAGGTACCAGGGGACTAAGAATAGGGAGCAGCCAAGACACTCAGTTAGAAAGTGTCCAGGTGGGTCCAGAGTAATTATTTGCGTGGTTGGCAAGTTTTTGGACTCTATCCTT